TCCCATTATGCTGAACAAAGAGATTCAGGTTCAATAGAGGGAACAGAACAAAGCTTTCAGCTTTTTTTTAAAACTTTTTTTTTAAAAATTGTTTCTGTTTTTAGAGTTGGCAAACTGTTGCAATCTGAGACACTATTCAACGTGATGTGGGAAACATTTATCAAGTTGCAAGATAAAAATCTGGAGCAAACAAGAATACCAAAAGATGGAATTGCCTTTCATTCAGTCTGCAGAATTTTTTTGTAACTTTACAAGAAACAATTTAATGGGAAATTCTGTTTTAAATAAACTGTCTCCAACTTTTAAAACACACTTTCACATTTTGTCTTTGAAGCACAGTTTTTGACTTCATAGGAACAGTTAAAGTGAAACTGGCTACACAACAACTATAGAGAAATGTTTTTACCAGTCTAAATCCAAAAAAGGGTGGTGGTGGTGGGAACAACTACAAAATGTACTGCCAGGGGATGAAACTTGAGCATAACATTTTTTTACACAGAGCCTATTTCAGATTATTTAGTAATAAAACACAAATATAGCACTTCAGTCTTTAATGGTATTAGCACGATTCCTGTATTTTTTCAGACTATAAGGCGCATTAAGCGAAACAAGTTCATTTTGCCAGATTTTTGAGCACTGTGAACCACATATGTAAGCACAACCAGAATTAATACATAAGACACACCGGATTATAAGGCTCACTGTCGATTTTTGAGAAAATTAAAGAATTTTAAGTGCACTTTATAATCTGAAAAATAAGACCTAAAAAAAGGGGGCTAATAAAGTCTGCTAGTCTGAGAGTTGAATCTGGTTCTGAATTGTAGAGCTTTTCCTGGGTGTGTTAGTAAGACTGCATTCAGAATGTGATCAAAGTATTAAAAATAAATTGATGCTTAAATATAAATAATTTGAATGAGATGTTGAATAAAGTGAGAAGTTTATACCGTATCAAAATAAATAATCTATTTCTGAATATATGGTAGCTTCATTGTTCTGTTAACTGTATTAAACACAGAAAACATGAAACATTTAATCCAGCAGATTGTGTTGCCTAGAATTGCAAGGATGTTTTTTTAGGAATGCTTGTGTTAGCAGGAATGTGTGGAATTCCATGGCAGATTGTCCAGCAGCATACTTCATCATCACGTGTGCAGTCCCTGCCTTTTCTTTTCTTTTCTTTTGATATCTAGGATATTAAGTATCCAAAAGAGTACTATTTTGTTTATTTTTGTGCACATGGCTTGTTAGATTTTAACTGTATCTTTTAGAGTGGCATGGATGATTAGTTGTGCTTGCCTAAACGAATGTTAACAGAAAACGACTCGTATGACTTGTCAGTTGGCAGTAGTACAAATATGGTACCGAGAAAAAGCATCTGCAACTTACGATAAAACTGTTATCTGCTCTAAGTTGCACAAACTCTTGGAACACAAATGACAGCTAAATGTCTCATTTTGTTTCGGTAGATTGTTACACATCTCAGCTGTGCATTGTGAGTGACCTATTTAAAGTTTTAGCTTGAACTGATCATGCTAATAATGATGATGATGCATTGCCTTTACTGCAAATGCACACCAAACATCCCGCATTCTTGCTTGGGTGTTCCTTTTATTGTGGGACTATTGTTGCTTTTGTTCCAACTCATAATGAGGAGCTGGTCTCCCCCACATCCAGGGTGGAGTAGCTGTTACATCATCCGAAGTAGCATTAGTCATTATTTCATTTAATTTCAACATCCATGGAGGTTTTAAGATGCTAAAGAATTTTAGTTTCTAAAAAAGTTCAAACACTCGAGTCCCATGAGTTGTGGGAGAAATTGATTTTCACCCAAAAAAATCTTGAGAAAGTTTTCCATTCCCAGACTTGGGGGTTTGTTTTCCTCTTGCCACACAGCTGCCTGCAAATCATCTGCTCTGCTTCCATTCCAAACTCCTGCTCACATTTTAGGGTGCATTCACACCAGCCCTGTTTAGTCCGCTTTAATTGAACTCTTTGCCTAGAAAGTCCCGTTTTTTGGGGGGGAGGTGTGAATGCGCAATCGAACTGATGCGGACCAAAAAAAGCGAACTCTGGTCTGCCTAAATACCTAGTCTCGGTTCGGTTGAAGTGTAATTGAGTGCAGTTCGAATGCATTGTGAATGCAAGGGGACCGGCGACAACTCCAAAAGCAGGAAGTGGACTACAGCACAGGGCATTTTGTGTAAATACACTGTACAACCAAAACAAACACGCATTTCTCATATCTCATACGGAGCCGTCAGCCAGCTTGTATGAAAAACGACATTCTCCATAGTGTTCTGCCTCATCTTCCGCTCATGCTGAGTCCATTGTTGAAAAATGTTTGTTTGGCACACGTTCCACAGACAAAACAGAAATCCTAAAACCGCTAAAATTTGACGCCACTCCATTTTAGTTTTTATTTCCTGAAGTACGTTGCGCTCAGTGTCTTCTTCGGAGGTTTTCATGTCGTTTCCTTCAGTAGTTTTTGGTGCAGCGCCACCACAGGCGAGGGGTGGGAACAGGTTGGCTCGATTGACTCAGTGCAGTGTGAATGCGAACCGCGCCAGTTGAAAATGTAAGCAAATGTTCTGAATTTTGGTCCCAAATCGAACTGAGTCTACCGGACTATCAGGTGTGAAAACGACCTTAAACTATGTTAAATTGGTGGCCACTGTCAGCCCTCTCTCACTATCAGATTCTCCTCGAAATATGACACACCAATATGTTGACACGCACAGTCAGACATGTTGTCATGTCAAAATCCTGACATTTGGGCAGCATTTCTTTGTTCTCAGAGTGGAAGCATTTTGACCAAGCCTACACTGTATTTCAATGATAAAACAGATGCATCTCTTGAGGTTCGTGTCCTGCACACTTCTCTCCTGTCACATCAATAAAAGAAAACAACTCCCGACTTTTAACACTTAACTTGCTTTTTAATTGTGTAGGAGAAGTTATAGCTTTAGAATAACTTTGGTTGTTTCTGTTGGAAAAGTTGAGCTCCATCTGTGGCTGGTTATTAGTAGGTGGAGCTCTGTAATAAGAGCATGCTTCTTGTCACTGAAATAAAAAGCATGTGTCTGCTGTGTCAGGCAGTCCTCCCTCTGGGATTCATCATCTCAAACCATGTGTCTGGTCAGAATACATAAAGAGGGTTTGAACGATACATCGCTGCCAGCCTAGTGATACCTTAGTGCCTAAATAAAATGGTTGACGGTGAGATTTTGTTCATCAAACCGTTCACAGCTCCTTTTTTATAACTTTATTCCTATTGAGCGGTTTTGTTTACGATAGGCCTAACCACGGTTTGTTTTGGTCCGATGCCTTTTAAATCCCCTGCACACATGTGCGTGCATGCCAATGTGTGTTTTCTCTGACTAGATGGCCATGTGAGTGTGTGTGTGTGCGTGTATGTGTGTGGCATCCTCACCCACACTCAGAGGGACCCATTCATCTGTGGCCTGGCACCCAGAAAGGGAGTTCGTTTAAGAAAGACAGATACTGAGGGATACTGTTCGGACTCTTGCTCAGTGACTCAATGGTAGTTGTCTGCCTGGCACTGATTAGGTCAACACTGATGAATATGCAGAAGTTGTCTGTCACCCTCAGAATGGCCTATATTTTGACCAAGCCAGGAGATGGGTTGTGGTCTACAGGGTCACTCTGTACAAGAGGTTACTTTATGTCCTCCTAATAATCTCAAGGCATTAAATCTTCAAATTTATTTTGTCTTATTGTATGAATTCACTCCTTTGTAATAGTTTCCCCCTCTATTAGTTTTTGTTATTTACATTAAACAAGGACTGATTGACAAAGTAAAAGTACTTGATTTTAAAAACCTTGTTCCATGTTCCAACTCTTTCTGTTATGGTTTGCATTCAGCGAGTGTTATTTTCAGTCGGGCAAGGTCTTTTCTGTTTGGAGCACCACATCCTCCCTTGTTCTCAAACACGTCTTCCCCACAAAGGCAGGAACTGTGCAGATCTAAACTACAGCCAGCAGGAAATGGTGTATGGTTTAAGAGTTTGGTGACTTTTGGAGTTAAAGGGCATTCTTAAAATGAGCCTCTACAAAGACAAAAACCTTGGCTTGCCTGATATACTAAACAGAACCTGATAAGACAGAACAAATGGTCATAATATTCAGCCCTTGGGTATATTTAGGTGTTTTATGTATAGTGTTGGGTATTGTGCAGACTAGGGATGCATGATATTGGATTTTTGGTCGATATCTGATATGCCAATATGTTAAAACTTATTTGGCCAATAACTGATAACAATACCGATATTATTATTTTTTCTTAGACCTACTTACAGAGACTACATAGCTTTCTCTGCTGTGGAATTAAAATACTACATTATTTGTCATAGTCGTTGTCAATTTGGCCTGCTACCAAATGCAGATGCCAAAAAGGGGGCTGAAAATGATGTAACACTATAAAAAAAAATATATATATATATATATATATATATATATATATATATATATATATGTATATAAACCCGCGCCTTTTATATTGGTGAGTAATTTTGATTGAATGGCCGATGTCCGATAATTAATTTTATCGCTGATATCAGCCGATACCAATACCGATACCATGCCGATAATATTGTGCATCCCTATTGCAGACATATTGAAATTATGGTGCACATTGATACAAGTTGTCCTCGTTGTTGCAGTTTGTTTTGCAGGTATATGTCAATGTCAATGTCAATGTCAATTTATTTATATAGCACATAAAAACAACAAAAGCTGACCAAAGTGCTTTACAGTTAAGACAGATAAAAAGAGTAAAAAATGCATCTAGTGCCACTCAAAAACATATGAAAGATAACAGTAAATACAACATACAACAACAATAAAATCAAATGTGCATTTGCTTGTAGAGTACATTTTTTCTTGTGGAATTTTCTGGGATTTTTTTTGTCTTCTATGGATTTCCTTGCATTTTTTCCCAGGATGTTGGCTAAAGCATCCCATCTTTTTCTTCTTCTCCTTAGGATGGTTCTCTGGGTAACATAGATGACCTTGCCCAGGAGTACGCCGAGTACTACAACACCTGCTTCAGTGACGTCGGCGATCGCATGGAGGAACTTCGTAAACGTCAAGTCTCCCAGGAGCTCGACATGGTAAATGGATATTGTTTAACACACACACTCACAAAAACCACACCTAGAGCGTATTTAGAACAAAAACTCCCTTACACCTTTCATGTCTGCTTTCTGGGTGGAATTTTTAAATCGGGAACAAAAACTTCTGGGTTCTTTCTGCACTCTTAGAAGTAACAGTATTAAAAAAATGTCTATAGGCATTGTATAGATGTGAACACAGTGATGTTCTAGAGCTCTGTTAGAGAGATTGTGGGTGTTCCTTTTTACAAGGATGTAGGGTAGTGGGGCAATCCTTTGGTTGCCAAGCTACAAGTAAATGTATGAAGGAATTCTGCTGGTGCTGCTGGGGAGGTCCAAGTTTTGAGCAGAACTCAACCTAGTGCATCTTCACACACTTAGAAGACATGTAGGCTATAGTGTTTTTCCCCCCATTTTATATTTCCAGGATTTTAATAATGATAAACGTTTAATTATAATCCTATAAAATATAACCTAATTTGGATAAACTTAATTTATATTTTAATGAAGCAAGTATTTATTAGTGATGCACTGATCACAGGTTTACAGGCTGATTCCAGTCTCCAACCTGCTGATTGTGATTCCATTAGATTCAAATTTTTAATAACTATAATCTTTAGTGTAAATGAGCAATTTCTCTAAAACTGGTCCAATTTACAGAGCCCCATTTCTCACTCTGCATCTCTGGAAATCTGCAAATTATTTAAATATCATAATTAATCTCCAGGTTATTGGACAAAAGCGCGTGCACAAATAAAACAACTTTAAAAGAATTACAGAATATCATAGAAAAATAAACATATTATAATTCCTTAACATTGACTTTTTACACATCTTCAAACCAAAAGTGCACCGGTTGAATATGTCACCAGTTTAGCTGGCTCTATAAAAGAAAACAAACACCTGAGCAGTGAAGTGAGCTTCAGACAGGCCACTCAGAAATCCTGTAAAAGTCTCTTACACCTCATAATACTTTCCGTTTTTTTTTTTTTTTTTGGTAAACAAAACTTCAATTTTCACTGATTTCTCACTCTTAGTTGTCAACACTCAGTTAAAAACGTCCACACTGAAGAGGTGCTGTTGCTGCACAGCAGTGGTGCATTCAATGACCAGGATAAAGTCAGATTTTTGATTGTCACTCCTCTTTGGTGTTGCTACTTGTTATAAAATATAAAGTTTTTAAATACTACACTGATTAACTGTAGTCAAGCTGGTCAAGCTTAAAATTGGTGACTTGTGCATCCAAGCGTCTCTTTATGTTGCATCATATAAGCTATTTTGGTTTGACCTACAAGGTCAAATGTAATAAAAATAAATATTTTAGATGTTGTCAATTCCCAGTTGGTCATGGCAAGTTTATGTGTTTGAGTAGAAGACAACTGGACATGGTTTCTTCATTCATGAAATGGTTCTTGTATTTATAGTTGGATGTTGTCTAAATAGTAGAATTAACTGTTATAGAAGGGCAATTTAAGTAATGATTAGCACGTTTTCCTAATAAGTAACCATTTTTCTAATTTTATTTCTGATTCAACTTGTCTCAAGACGTAATTTTTTTTTTAAATACATGTCATCAAAGAGGCATCTCCTGCTCAGAGGCAGCCATATGGTTTGGGTTGGGTTAACAGGTGTGGCTTAAATAGATAATTAATTCATCGTGCTTTTAATTTTAATAACTTCAGACTTCCTCTTCTCACATCTTTAAAGGGAGGAATTAGAAAGCCTGTGGACGCTTTGTTGAGGCTTTGATGTATCTTTTCCCATCAAGCAGTAATACCTCAAGCCATGTATTAGTTTGGAGAATGTTTCATCCCGAGGACAAAAAAGCAGAGGGGGAAAAGGAAACAATCAGGGCGTATTTTTCTATGTAGAAGAGAGTAAAAGAGCTGACTGGGACCTGAGCCTCAAGCCCCAAAGCAGGAACAGGATAAGGATGAGGACAGAGGAAGAAGAAGGGAGGAGGATGAGGGGAATGAGTAGGAGGAGGAGTAGCGAATGTGAGAGCCTGCAGCTGTCCTGCCAGTCTTTCGACGTTTGGCAGCAAAACATAGAAAAAGAGATGGGAAAAATGCATGACGAAAGAAATATAGGTCAGACAACACCTTACCAAGAGCTCTGAACTAGGCAGGATCAACCCACACTGTGTGGACTGAACTTTGCCTTTTTTGTTGCAATGCTTTTCTAAAATTAGTTTTGGAAAATTTAAAGTGTAGAATAGATTTTTTTTTTAGGATAAGGTGAATTTCTTTTTTGTTTGTTTGTTTGACATTATTGATAGGGAAAGGTGAAACCAATACACAGTGCACAAGAGTTGAACTAAGGAAAAGAATAGATAGTGTTAATGTCAGACTCTTACAAGTGAAAGACTGTTTGTATCTTTTGAAGTGTGTCCAACAAGCAGCTAAAGCTGGTGTAAAGCAGCTAAAACAGCCTTAAAGCAGAAGTTTACAATGTTTAAGAGTCCCAGTACTGGATAGACATTTATAGAAAGTAGTGTTTTTGAGGGCAGATAGGTACAGATGTGCAAGAGTCAATGAAGTTCACTTTTTTACCCATCGTTTTGATATCTGAAAAAAATATATTATATTTTTGCCAAATACAGTAGTCCCTCCCTACTTCGCAGTTCCACTTTCGTGGACTAACTGTTTTGTGGGTTTTCAACGTAAGATTGTACACGACACACAATTGGCTGATTGATAGAAGGCGACCAACCAGAGCATTGTGCTGAGGGACGGACTGGCCATCGGGAGCACCAAGACATTTCCTGGTGGCCTGGCCTGCTCAGTGATCACCGAGGGGTTGGACCAAAGGCTCTGTTCAGGTCACGCTTGATCTTTTAAAATAAACAATCCATGCTGCTTACTCAGGTGAGCCTCACTGAAGCTCCCTGAGCAGTAGCGATGGAGAAAAACAGACCCCACCTCGTCCCCTCCTTTCTCTTTCTGAGGCTGTCAGGAGGGGGCAGGGGTGGGGTCGGCCTTTCTCCATCGCTACTGCTCAGGGAGCATCAGTGAGGCTCACCTGAGTGAGCTGCATAGATTGTTTATTTAAATGATCAAGCGTGACCTGAACCGAGTCTTTGGTCCAGCCCCTCGACGATCACTGAGCAGGCCAGGCCACCGGGAAATGTCCCGGTGCTCCCGATGGCCGGTCCACCCCTGTGCTCAGTAACTGTAACATCAGTCTTTCTGCTCTCTTTTGCTGTGCTCTTTTAAAGCGTTTAAAGAGTTTAGAACATTGTGAAGAACATTGCAAGAGTGTAGGACGGGTTTATAAAGCCTTTAAATATATATATATATATATATATATATATATATATATATATATATATAAATACTGGCACTAAAATAAATATAATGTCCCTACTTTGTGGATTTTCACCTATCATGGTGGTGTCTGGAACGTAACCCCCGCGATAAGTGAGGGACTACTTTACTTAAATGGTTTCACATCTTTCCCACTGGAATCCTTGGATCAGTGACTCAGGTTGGCTCTGGTTAGTTAGCAACATTTCAGGCAAAGGGCTCAAGTTGTTCATCTTGTTTTTTTGGTCTTTTCTGGTTTTCCCACTTAGTCAGCAAGAAAAGCAGAAGTCAAGAGTCAACATGATACTTGGCAAGGACTTGATAAAAGAAAACTGTAATATTATTACAGTTATAGTCTCCATTGATCGCTGACATCACATTTTTTTAAAAATCCCACAGGAAAGCCCCACTGCCTGCTTAGCTGTGGTCAACACAATCAGACCAAAATGAGAGAAGTATTTTTTTTTCTCCAAGTTTCTGTTCTTTAAAATGGTCTCAAATTGACTTGTAAATCTCAGAGCATTCATTTTTTGTAAGTAGACACTTTTGGTTGTTCATTTAACAACTTTTGCTCCTTTTCTTAAATAATACAACTTTTTATTTTTGCTGGTGTCCTGACCTGCATGTACTGGTAGTTAACAGCATAGGGTGTCTGTGTTGTCAGGAAAACATGGGCTCTCTATTGAAAGCTGATGACGGAGGCTCTTTCTGAGATAACTATCAATGCATTAACTTCCTGCCTAATCTGCGCTCAGTTGTTTCTATGCATCACTGTTAGTTTTCTGAGCCAATGGAACACAAGTGGTTAAACAAACACCCCCTTTGGATGGAATAGCACCACTGCGCCCAGTTTCCCACCACTCTTATGGATGAAAGCTTAGACAGCTCTCGTTGGCATGCCCATTTGGTGATGTTTGAGCCTTACAACTGAACTAGCAAGATGTGCTGAGGGGGAGAAAAATGTTTTAAGATGCATTTTTATTGACTACCACCATGAAAGGGAGACAATAGTGTAATTACGTGTCTTTAAATAAATAAATCATACACATTCAGTCGTTCTGACACACAACTGTGAACTAAGTGGTCTTGACATCAAATTAGTTGTTTTATTTCAACAGGAACATTTTTAGTATATCCACTGTTCATTTAGACGCATGAAATTAATAATCTATTTTGTTTCAGGCATATTTTATCCAACTTTAAAATATCTTTATATGTAAATTAAAGGGAAATGTTAATTAACATTTGGTCTGTTCTAAATCCTCAAGCAGCCACTCTGTTCAGTGTCAGTGCTACTGTAACTTCTGCTGATGGTGAAAACGGGCCAAAACAAGCCCCTTTGGCACTTTGCCACTGTTTCTACACTCGTGTTCTGCACCAGTTAAGAGCCTGCAGACTGCTGGTACTCACCCCTGCTCAGCCATTATGGTACCAGCTTGTTGGTGGTTCCAAGCGAACTGCTCCGAGGTGACGATTTTGACGTAAGCAGACAGCAGCCGTTGACTGGGCAGCAGAGCTCCGTCACTGGATGACCCACCCAGTACATACATATCAAGTCTTATGGATTTTCTGTAAATTATACGCACTTTCCCCCATTTTTCATTTTTTATGGACATACAGAGAAAGTTTCATGGATTTGTCATAAACTCGGCTCCAAATTTTCTTCCTGTCTCAAAGCTGGCCCGGAAATGCTAA